TCCTTGCTGCGATTTATTGCGGCTCCGAGAGCCGGAGGCCGCCAGCCTGATACCATCAGCCCCTTGCACACCAGGGCAGCTTTTATATTAGTTTTCTTTAAACAGAGGATGAGCTTCCCAGGCTGGAGGAAATGTCATTTCTCTGAACGCTTCCATCTCGTGTCGGTTCAGACATCTCCAGGCAGCATTGCAATCACCCTGGAGCGAGGCGAGGGATGGGGACGGGCTGCAGAGGCTGGGGCACATGGGGACAGACAGCTCGGGGACAGGGACCGGCGTTGGGCAGGGCTGGAGGCAAAGGTCGAGCGGTGGCAGTGGCCTTGTCCCCTGTCCCCTGGCAGCCCCAGGCAGGCGGGCACGGCTGCAGGGGTGTGTGGGGAGGGCAGGGGTGCCTGTGGTGCCCAGCTGAGTTACTCACTTGTCGGCTGCCAGGGTGCCGAGGCCAGCTGTGAAATCACACTGGTGAGAGCACAGCACAGTCCTGAAGGGCTTTGCCTTTCCAGCATGACAAACCCAATTAGATAACAGGGAGTGCATGAGGAGGAGGAGGAGGAGGAAGGGTCGAGGAGAGCCTGCCTGCAACGGGAACTTGATTTCCTCCCCGCAGCTGACCCAGAAAAGCACCTTCCAGGGATGTAGCACACATGTCCAGCTGGGGACGGTGCCTGGAGCACAGGACCCCCTGGACACCCTGTGCCGCTCACCCAGCATCCATGGGTGCACCAGGATTCCCACACTGTGTGCCTGTCTCCCCGCTCAGCTGCCGCTTGCCGGCATCCCCGCACCGCACTCACGTGCAGGGGAGACCCCATTAGGGAGGTAATTTCTCCACACGATTCCTCATTTCCCTGCTCTCTGCCGTGGAGACACACTGACCTTGACAGAAATAGCTGCTTGCGCCTCAGCAGGCGGATCCCAGCCAGAGATCGCTGGGGACCCTGGCATCCTCCTCCCCACCCCACACAGCTCCAGGGCCTCCCAAGTCCCCTCCACCCCCTTGGGGCTTGCTGTCCTGCCCCCCTGCTGTGGTGAGCCCCATGGGAGCGAGGTGCTGGTCCCCACCCTGGCTCATGCCAGCCCACCCACAAGCACTGGGGGTGTGAGGACCAGCCCCATGCTCTCCCAGTCCCCCATCCCCACTGCTGCCAGCCCATTGTGCCAGCCTCCGGCTGATCCCAGCTCACGCAGGTATTTCCGCAGCTTACATGGCTCCCCACGGTATTTAGCCTCTGGAAGACGACGTTAAACATTGCAAGCAGCGACAAATCCTGATTGCTCCGAGGAGACAAGAGGCCACGCTAAGCTTCCAGCCAAACGTTTGCATGCGAGGGAAACGAGCTGAGGCATGTGTGGTGCTGGTGGGTCCTGCTCCTGTATGTACGGGGCACCCAGCCCTGCTCCAACATCCCTGCTGGGACACCCAGCCCTGCTCCCACGTCCCTGCTGGAACATGCAGCTGGCAGGCAGTCCCTGGCCATGGGCACACCATGCAGCAGTGAGCACCCCAGCATGGAGACACCCCTGAGAACAGTCACCACTGGGGCGTAATGGGGATGGGGACAGGGACGGGAAGACACCAGAGTGCTGCCCACCCTGGGCTTGGTGGGGATGCCAGTCCAGGGGTAACCTTGAGGGTGATCTCCAGGTACCCCAGCCCAGAGAGCAAATCAGCATGGGCAGGGCTGTGATATAAAGGAAAGCAGCCTCCAGAATTGGAAGTGCTCCTTCCTGAGTGAGTGCCGGCAGCTGGAGGCACAGGGATGCCCCTGTCCAGGACACACAGGGCAGGAGCTGGGGCCAAACTGGGAATGCCAGTCCAGGGGTAACCTTGAGGGTGATCTCCAGGTACCCCAGCCCAGAGAGCAAATCAGCATGGGCAGGGCTGTGATATAAAGGAAAGCAGCCTCCAGAATTGGAAGTGCTCCTTCCTGAGTGAGTGCCGGCAGCTGGAGGCACAGGGATGCCCCTGTCCAGGACACACAGGGCAGGAGCTGGGGCCAAACTGGGACGACACTGGCAGAGCTGGGACAACAGCATGCCCATGCACGTTGCCCCCTGCCGTGGCCGTTGCGGCCCCAGAGCCCGGCTCTGCTGGACCCCCCTGCCGCCT